TCTGTCAAAAAGGCGTCTTTGTCACTGAATTGGCCATTAGCTCACGCGTTTGGCCGACTTCTCAGCCTCCACTTTGAATGTGCCTCTTTCGAATTTGCCCTAATAAAAAATTGTCTTAACGCTGAAAGTTGAAACCACTGAGGAAAAAATTGTACTTCCACCCAAATAAAAAATTGTCACAAACTGAACTAGTGGGATAGAATGATGACTGTGATGGTCTCTATACAATTAGGGTCGTTTGGTATGCGATAAGGATAACAATTTTGAGATAGAATTTGAGATTAATTTTATCTCGTATTTGGTTTGAGGTATTCGAAAGGAGTTTGGACCTGATCTTAGATTTGTATTAAGGTAGAAGGTTAGTAAGCAATGGAGTGTTGTCTTGTTTTTCAAGGGTTAAGGTGTGACGTACTAGCTGTAATACTGTAGTTTTTGTCCGTGATATTGGACAGTTTGTTGTTTATTGTGTTCCGACTGTTGCATTGTTTTGTTGTTCTTGTTCCTTTCTCGTAGGATTTGCACTGCTTCCCTTGTTAGTTTGAATTTGCTACAATTGAGCCAAGGGCCTCTCGGAAACGGCCTCTTTACCTCCACAAGGTAGTGGTGAGGTCTACGTACACTTTACCCTCCCTAAATCCCACTTATGAAATTCTAGTGGATATATTGATATATTAAAATGATGGGATTACTATCTCATATAGAAGATGATATATCCTTGCTTATCCCATCGTACCGAACTACCTATTAGTGCTCGATAGCTACAACTCTAGGGGTCATTATAAGTTGCCTAAATGGGCATTCCTTGTTTACTTGGATCCACCAGATCACCACTATTTGTTGCTAGTGCAATTCCTTTTTTTCCCTTTCCGGAAATTTGAACATAAAAATGGCTCCTCTGCATCATTTAGGCCCACAATCACTTTTTTCATTTGTGGCTCTGTTGTTTATTGCAAATAATTGTGTCTTTAGTAGAGAATCTAAGTGATTGCTGAGCTAAGCCCAACATCATCACTGGATCTTGTCCTCTGGGTATAATTTGCAGTGTTATCAGAAAAAAAAAACATCATACAGAACGTTATGTTGGGGGATGTATACTGTAATAAATAGCAATGGTACTTTGATTCTCAGTTACTTTGTGACCACACCTCCCTTTATTCGTCTATGTTTTGGTTGAAGACAAGAAACAGACAGTCAAGCCACTCTTTTTCAAGAAAGTGAAATAACACTATACTCTGTTTCACTTAGATTCCTTTAATTCAAAATATTATTCACTCGTTTTAATTTGTCTATCTTGTGAGAATGTCTCTTTTCACATAACATGTTTAACACCACAAGATTAAATAATATTTTGGTACATTCTATATAGCAAGATTCAAAAGTTCTCCTTACTTTTTAAAATTTCATTTCAAGTTAAAATCAGATAAACAAATTGAAACGGAAAGAGTATTCTGTTTCTGGGGTAATTCCTTACCTCAAACCTGTCCTTTTCCATGTCACTGCCAATTCCCATGACAGTTTGTGGGGTAGCTTATGTTATCTCCTCTTCTTTTTTTCAGATTCTTATACCCTGACTATGTACTAGAAGCAAAACAAATTAACAAACCAAAAAAGAAAATAAATCATTTTCCTAGCCAAAACACTTTAAAGGTGCAGCCTACTTTCTCAAATGAAGACAATCATGGCAAAGAGTTCCCAAGATTTGTCCTCTAAGAAACAGTTCAACTGGACAACTAAAGTCAGCAATGAAGAACAACAACAAGAAGTAGTTGAAGAAGATACATCTCTTAAAATCTCATCAAACACAAACAACACGAAAGATGGAAAAACAGTCACTCCTTTGAAACTCCCAGAAGTCTCAATATCCAAATCTCCTTCCTTAAAAACTATCCATGAAGAGAAGAGAGACGACGCGAAGTTAATTCAAGAATCAGAAACATCAGCTTCAGCATCTGCATCTGCATCAACAAGGAGGAAAGCAGTAGTTGCCAAGCTGAAATCAGTACTAACATCACTTGGTAAAAACAGAGGAAATTTCCAACAAGGCTTAGGAACCAAAGTTGTGGGTACACTTTTCGGGCACAAAAACGGGCATGTACATTTTGCATTTCAGAAAGATGCCAATTCACAACCAGCCTTCTTGGTAGAACTCGCGACTCCCATAAGTGGACTAGTCCAAGAAATGTCATCCGGGTTGGTTAGGATTGCATTGGAATGTGATAAGACAGATGAGAAGAAATCAACTAGACTCATAGATGAGCCTTTATGGAGGACTTATTGTAATGGGAAGAAATGTGGTTTTGCAACAACAAGGGAATGTGGTCCAAAAGAATTGCAGATTTTGAAAGCTGTGGAGCCTATCTCTATGGGTGTTGGAGTTTTACCGCGGAACGAAGAAGAGAGTGATGAATGTGATTCAGGGGATGTGATGTACATGAGGGCTAAATTTGAAAGAGTTGTGGGGTCTAGAGATTCAGAGGCATTCTATATGATGAATCCTGATTGTGATGGAGCTGCTGAACTTAGTATTTACTTGCTCCGAGTCTAGTTAAGTAGACTCAGACAAGATTCATATAGCCGACTCCAACTTGTCTGGGATTGAGACGTATGTTTGTTAATATAGTCATGTTATATCTTTACTTTCTGTTTTCGGATTTCAGAAGAAAATCCGGTAGGAGATTGGAAACTGGTTGATGTGTTTCTTTAGTTTTTTCTTTCTTGGGTGAAATGGGAGATATATATTACTGATATAACCAAATTATACTTGCAGTTTCACTTGTTCATTGTGTTTGTATTCTTAATTCTAAGTTGATGTCAGTGTTCTTGGCTTCATGAACTTGTATATTCACCTATTTTGAAATTATCTTCCCAAACTTGTGGATTGTGGCAAGTCCTTTGTAGCACATTCCGATCATTAGTCGAAAATGTTGTTTTTCCACCATCTCTTATGCCCACTTACCAATTGGATTGACGAAAATGTCATTTTTCAGTTCTGTTATGTGTAAAAATGAAGATCTTTTGTTAAAAAGACATAAAACTAAAAACAAGTTTGTCAAGTGCTACGAAACTAAATCTCCCCATGTTTTTTGTCACTACACACCATAAGAATTGATGAATGATTTGAGCAACTTGGCAATATTATGACAATATTTTTATCGGTAGAGGTCATTAGTAGATACCTAATGGAATAGTTGAGATCGAAAAACTGCCCTTATAAGAAAAGACAAAAAAAAAGGTGTGGGATGTGTGGGGCAGATCTAGAGGCCAATTTATAGGTTTTACCTTAACCTAATAATTTTTATTTAACCGTGAACTCAGTTATAATTGCAATATTTATTTAAAATCAGTGTCGCCAGCCATAACCCATAAACTTCAAATTCTGAATCTGCTTCTTGATTGATGTGTGTGAAAAAGTGCAATATGGGGCTACGTTTTTCCTTTTGTAGATGTGAACCATGGTCATGTTTAAAACATCCAAATAGATAATGCTTGGTGCTTTTCTTTTTACTTCTTTTCTTGACTGCTTTCCTCTAATTTTGAAAGATTTGCCACTTACTTTTTTCTGGCATCTCATTTAAAGTGTCTAATTGTCACATGTTTTGGTGCGTAATTTTGGTCTGCGCTTTATCGAAGTAAGCATGAAAATCCCAAGAAATTAAACTATTATAGCTTAATCACACAAGTCCATTAAAAGCAGCGCCAAGTCGCCAACCAAAGATTTCTTTGGCTGACATACATCTTACTCAGCTTCAGAATTTTCCGGGGCGTTTGATCATGAAATTTTTCCCACTTTTTTCTGTCCCCAGAAAACACATTTGACCCAAAAATTTCAGAATATCGAATTTTCAAGAATTTGAAAAAAATAACAAATACATGTTTTCACCTTTTTTTTAAGTGTAAAGTATTCACAAAAAGTCAAAAACAACTCAAGTTTGTATTCATAGACAAACATTACTCTACTTCAATTTTCAAATATCATTTTAAGATGAATCATGGACAAACGTGTAAAGATGGATCTTGGGCCTAGCTAAACCTCAAAAGTTAGCTCATGAGGGGAAAATTGTTCAAGTTGATATAAGGAGACCAAATTTCTACCCCTTTTCCAATGTGAGAATTCTTAACACTCCCCCACACGCCCATATCTCGTTAACTGGAGTGTGGACAGGTCTAACATCGGTGAACAAAGAATTAGAATGCGTTGGCTATGATACCATGCAAAGATGAGTCTTGGGTCTTAGTCGGCCCCAAAAGCTAACTCATGAAAGGGGGATTGTCTAAGTCCATATAAAGAGACCAAATTCCCATCCTTTTTCCGATATGAAAATTCTTAACAAAACGTCCACTTACTTTCTCTTTTACAAGAAGAAATTATAAATTACAAATTTATGGATCTAATACTATCTACCGAAGAAACGAAAAATAAGTCACAACAACAACAATTCACCCAATGGCCAGGATAATCTCACAAGTAGCTGGGTTTAGGGAAGGTGGTGCGTACGCAGTTTACCCCTATTTTGTGATGGTAAAAAAGGTGTTTCCGATAGATTCTCGGCTCACCAATAATTAATCACACTTGAAAATAAGGTTAGAAGACCAAAATTTCTTCGATTTGACCATAATTCAAAGAAAAGTTGTTTAGCTATATATGCCATCATTCCCTCTCCAATTTCAAGGCTTTCTCAATTCTTTTGTTTATCTTGGCTTTTCCTTTTCTTAAAGCCTAAAAAGAAAGGTTAAAGCTTTAGGGTCCATCTTAGTGTAAGTGGCATTGATTACAACTAAAAACAAATTAAAGAGATTATCATATTAAGATTACATCCATGGTGTTTTTGATGTTTTCTTTTGATCATTCTGTTATCATTACTCAAAGATTCTTTAATTATTTGAGGCAGATAAAGCTTAGCCTTTTTTGCTTTATTTATTTAAAGCATGTTTAGAGTGGTCATTTCGAATTTGTTTTGGGTGTAATTGGATGAATTAAGTGTTTATAACACGTAGGCTCATCAGAAATGCTCTGATTTTCCTGATTCCAGAGAAGTTTCAGTTTCAGTTTCAGTTTCAGCCCAAAAGACGAATTCCATCTCATTCATTCATTCATACTAGAATAGGCAAGAAATAACCAAATTCGATCTCATTGAATGGGACATGAAATATATTTATAAAAATACGATCCATGGAAGAGACATAAGTATTATTCTTGCGACATAACAAAATGTAAAATGACTAACAACATGTCCTGAATGCCCCAAAGAAGCTATAATATGGTGGGAATTCTGACTCAAATCTTCATTTTTTAAATTGGAGTCTGATTCTTTACTATCTACTGTACTTTCTTGTTCACATTGTTTTACTCCTTCTGGAACATGACTTGTTGACGTTAACTCGAGGGACAAGCAGAGTTTCACATTACCTGAAGCTCGAAAACGACTCCTTAATTTTGTATAAAACCTTTGTGAAAATTCAAGTTTCCCTGTGAAATCATTTCCATCCAAGTATAGAGCATTAATAGTTGATATTTTCTCGAATTTTGACGGAATAATTCCTGAAAGAATGTTATTACTGAGGCTGAGGAATCTCAGTTTCTTCATTTCTGTCATGGAATTTGGTATATTCCCTTTCAATCCCATGTTTGAAAGATCCAACATTTCCAAGTTTTTCATGTTCCTCCATTGAATTCTTGTAACATAATCGCCTATCGGATTGTCAGATAACACAAGTTCTTCTAAGGAATCCATTTCTTGAAATGTCTCTGGCAAACCATCAGAGAAATTGTTGTGGCTGAGATCAAGTAGTGTTAGACTCTTTAGTCCTCCAATTTCTCGAGGCAATTTTCCATCTAATCGATTGTTGCTCAAGTCGACCTTTATGAGCGAAGATAAATCACCAATAGTCACAGGTAATGCACCAGATAGAAAATTCCTGCTTGTGTCAAGTATCAAAAGATTTGTCAATCTTCCTAGACTAGTTGGAATAGGACCAATAAAATTGTTGCCTGCCAAAACGAGGCGCTTTAGTTTAGTTAAATTGCCTAAAGCTTCTGGTATTTCTCCTTTCAGTCCATTTTCCAGCAGTACTAAAGATTGAAGATTCTTAAGGTAGCCAAAACTTGTGGGAATTGTCCCAATAAGACCAGGATTTGATCGGAACTCTAACGATTCAAGGCTGTTCGCGAGACTATCCCAATTTGAAATGGGAATTGATTTGTGCTGATCTGAGAGGAAGCAATTTGAGAAGGAAAGTCTTTTTAGATGCTTGAGGTTAAACAAGTGTTCTGTGAACTCTGCAGCTTGGGAGCAACGAAGGGAATTGTCATATAGGTCTCCAATAGTTAAATCCGTTACGTGCCAGAAGCCATTGGAGAAATCACATGATACTCCCTGTGAATTATAGTAAAAATAAGAGTTCACAGAGTAGATTAAAGTGTTAAGACAAGAGTTTATGTTACGGTGTAAAGAATTTTTACACTGTTATGTCAAGTTAACATACAAGAACGATAATTTCAATACATATAACTACTTGGTTTTAGGAATAAATATTGCAAATTACCAATAGAATACTAGCATATATATTTACTAGTACTACCAGAAAAGGTGTGTTAGAAATTGGAAAGCTCCTAACTAGTGATGTCTCTCTTACACACACTCATATAACACTGTTTGCAAATCCAGAACAGAAAAAGTAAGACTTTGAGAAAGTCTTTTTCACTTTAATTAACAACCATTGAGAGGACAGTTTGATCTATTAAGAGTCCCACATCGGATATGAGATGGGTAATTGATCTCCTATATGGTCTTGAATAAGCCTCACCCTATGAGATATTTTTTTGTCTTGAGTTAGGCCAAGATCCATTTTTTTTATCATGTTACCAAAGTCCGCTCATCCGAATTCTTTGTTCACCTATGTTGTGCTTCCATATTATATTGCCCACAAGAGTCGAATATGGGATGGGTAATTGATCTCAAATGTCTTGAACAATACTCATCCTAATTCCTATGATGTAGTTTATGCGGTTGAGTAAGGCCCAAGATCCATTTCTTTATATTAAAAAATAAAAATAAAAATTGAGGACATCCATGCATGGCTTTGTGACATTACTGTTTTCTTGATTTTGAACTACAGCAAGAAAAGTCAATAATGGTAAAAAAACATAGACTAGAATCAACTAGCAAATTATGAAATCATATACTCTTCGTTCCTTTTTAGTTGTCATGTTTTCCTGTTTTCTTTAGAGTAACTTTGACTAACTTCATCATATTAATATGCAAAAAATTACAATTTATAGTATTTTTTATATAGTTTTTGAATATCTAAATGTTTAGTTTAAAATATCAAATTAATGTAATCTAATTTAGCTTTGAAAATTAGCAAAGGAACATCTAGAGCAAAAGATTAGTACCTCAATTGATGTCCAGCCACAAGGATCAGGATAAAGAAATGAACCATTCCACTCATTTCCAACAAAACCTTGAATAGCAGAGTACAATGCCTCTTTCTCATGTTTCTCCATTGGAGATATAGAAGCATCTGCTACACCTCTGTACATAACAATATACACCCCAACAAGAACAAGCTGGAGTAACATAATGTGAAAAATTTAGGTAAACAAGAAACAGAAGAGTGCAATAGCAAATTTTGAAAGAAAAAATTATAATTAATTGTGGACTTTGATGAAAGACATACAGAAAATAAAGAAGAGAGCAGAAAGAAAATTGTTCAATTTGGGAATCTCTGAAACTGGTATAATAAATATAAGGAGAGAATGGAGGCTGGAGCACAGAGGATATGAATTTGTCTTCTTTTTTTTGCTTTATTTATTGCTACAGCAGTAAAAGCAGAGTGAAAAAAAAAGGGTTGTAGAATAACAACAAAAGACAGAGGATCTACAAAAAGTTGCAGCCAAGTACAATAAGAAATGTGGCTCGAGGTTAAAAAGGCAATAATCACAGTGGTAATTAAGAACTATAATAGCAGAGCTACCAGTCAGTAGTGAAAACGAGATATGAACAAATTAAGGAGCTTTCTTTTAATGGTTAGGATCAAATGCTTACCATCATGTCGTGTTCTGCATATAATGCTTTCTAATGTTTAACTAACTACAACAAAAATTATTTTTAGCGATAATAAATGTGTTTATTAATAAATAGTATTAAAGTCTTTACTGATATTAATTAATTGTCATTAGATATGCTATAGGCTCTAGCTAGTAATTGTCTTTAAGAAATCATATTTAGTGACAATTAAGTTATTATCGTTAATTAATTGTCGCTATAATATCAAGCTTATCCGATGACGTTGTAAGCTACTAGCAAGGTTCAAATTAGTGATCTAAGTTACAAGTTTCTCAACCTTTATAGCTTGAACTTAGCCCTGGGGATGATCAATAAATAGTCTTGTAGTATTGCTTCTTTTATGTTGTATGGTTTTATTAAGTGTGCCAACGTTTATAAACAGCATTAATGAGTATAGGTTAGTGTATTTATTTTGTGAAGGTTGCAACAATTTGAATTATTTTATGGCAAATAATGAAGTGTTGTGCTTTTTGAAATGTGGTTACGGTAGTTTTGAAGGGACCATCTTATAACGTCATTGGATTCTGGACCATCTTCCATGCAGATTGCAGAGTTGAACTATTGCTTTCTTGTGATGCATGTTAAGGATGATGTGTGTTTTTTTTGTCGTTCAGAGAACGTTACGAATACTAAACCTTGATTAATTTGAATTTTTGATATCATATTTTTTTAATTTTTCTATAACATCATTCTGCTTATAATAGTGACATTCATTATAGAGGCACATTTTTGCAAGATTTCATTGTGTATAAAAATAATTAAAATATATATGATTAATGCACATTATAAGTTTCAAGTTTGAATATTTAAAAGGAAAAATTATACTTAAATTAGTTATAGACATATTTTCATGAGGAAAGACTAATAGTGTTTGCCTCTATCTTTTACATTAATACTCTTTTTAGCTATTTTTTTTTTTTGTTAAATTGGTTAACAAATACATTCTTTCTTTTTAGTACAGAAAATCGCTACTTTAATTTTTTTGGGTATTTTTATTTATAACAGCTAAATAAGATCAAATGTTAATATACATATATAACAACCTGTCACTATAACAGTTACGAGATTTCAATATAACAAGATTTGACGGTATATATATGATTTCCTCTTCACTTTTACTACTCTTCCCAGTTTACTTCAACGTTTAAAGTAGCTCTCCTACTCTGATAAATGAAGGGCGATAGTGTATACTGATTAGGTAAAGTATTATTGCATATTAGGTTTGATGAACTAAAAAGCATGTTACTACATATAATAATAGCACTGGAGAGGTTTGGGGCTATACATATATAATTAGTGTATACGGATTAAATAATAAACAATCTTCAACTTTATTGTTTACGTACAAAGTTTTTCTTCAACTTAGATTACCTAAAAATTTTAATAACCATTCACATTAAATTGAGATCTGTAATCTATAAAAATAAGATTAATAATAATCTATAAAATAAGATAGAGTTAAAATATATCGTTTAAATCTATCATTAGGTAATAACGAAAAGATTCATTTTGTGTAGCGATCAATTTGGTGTTGCTACCTTAATATTTTCTTCTATTTTGCTCTTAGCTATCAATTTGGTGTCTCTACCTTAATATTTTCTTCTCATTTTGCTCTACTTATTATTTAATATTATATTTTATCATTTACCCTACCTTTTTAGTTTTCATAATATAGCTCTATCCCGTACCCTACAATTTCTCATAGGTTTATCATTCAAATTATGAATGTGTAACAATGGAGGACGATACAATCTATCTAAACGTTGTATTCAATAAAACAATACAGTGTGATACAATAATACACAACGCAATACAATACAATACATTATGAAACAATACATAACAACCCTCCAAACCAAGTGTAAAGGTCATTTGGTTTTGGAATGGGGTGGGATGGGATATGTTGGAATATATCATGTGATTATTTTATTGCACCTTTTATTATCCCTCCATTTATACCAAAAACAACATAATAAAATAGTCTTAGAGTTAAATAATTACTCATTTACCAAATACTCATTAATTTTTTTATGAAATATCTCGAGATTATTATTCTTATCCCACCAATCAAACCACCGCTTGGATTATATAAGTTAATTCTTTTTTTTTTTTAATCTTTTAGTGTGCTGGAATATGCCTTGATAGATCATAGGATGAGTACTGCAACTCTACTTTGTTTGGTTTAAAATAATTGTAAAGTTGTTGTATTTATCAGCTTGCAATGGAACTACAAAAGTCAACACCTATGAGAAGAAGCTAGCAGTGCATGCCAAAGCTTTGTGGTTCCCATAGATCCAATTTAAGAATACTACTGCCCTATCAATAAAAAATATGGGCTTTGAGCCCATGTTTTTGCTACTTTATCAGGAAATAACCAAACAAGTGGCAAGTCCAATATGGTAACTACCACTTCCTTTCTTGTGTTTATACTATTGGGCCATGCATTTTTTTCTATCTTTGATTTAATGTCAAACAGGGACTTCTTTTCTATCTCACCCTACACAAAGTAAGTGTACATTCGGTGTGACGGGTCTTGCTTTGATATCATGTAAAATTAGGTCTTAGGCTTAACTTACCGCCCAAAAACTGAAAAGAGAAGGATTGCTCAAGCCTTATGAGAAGTTCACTTATCTCATTAACAATTAATGTGAGACGTTTGTCATTCTTCAACAATCAACGTTACTACATTTTGTGCCTGCTGATTGTTTTACTAATTCATGAGTTACTTATTAAATAGCATGTTATTCCAATTCCTAAATTGTCAAATGATTTTATTCGTTCCTTGCTTTCTAATCAACGAGGGGCAAAGTTTTTATGCAAAATGAATTTTGTTCAAATTTCGTTTTCTCATTTACTCCACTTTCCATTCATACTAACTTAAACCCAACAATAACAATGAAGAAAGATTGCATTACATATACCAAGGCTAAAAATACATCAAAATTCACCAGAAGTAGATAAAGCATTTGAAGAAATCATGTCTTGGTTATTATTTAACAAACATCAAATTGATTAAATTATTCTGTATACTCTTTTGGCCATGTTGAGCTGCAGCTATAGCTATTTTTTTTAGTGTCCCCATCATGTTAAAATCTTAAATCCGTCTATCAGTACATCTAGTAAACAATAAAATCGAACACTTGCGATCAAATAGGAAAAATAAAGTAGCTAGAAAGGCAATTGTGCAAGTAATATAACTTAAATTGATGCTTGATGTTACATATACTTGTGTATATCATTCTTTCGTCTTGTTCTAAATTTTTTTAGAGGAATATGGAGGAAGAAATTAAAACTTCTATCTCTCCAGTGATCTTTTTTTTTTATTAGTTACTAAAAGAACAATTCAATGATTAAGAGGTCACAATTCAAATGGTAATTTAAATTTAATATTAGTAATCATATGGGTGTTGAATAACTTTTCTTATCCAGATAAATTATAGGATAAACTAGTTTATTAGACATATATCACTACCATATATATTAATTTTACTTCTATTTTTAAACAATTACATATATTACCACTTTTAATATTTTATATCATATATTATTGAAGATACAATCAATACTCATATCCCTTAAAACTAGGATTGATTAATTATTTGTACATTTAAACTCCAAAATTAGTGTTTTAATTGAAAACAAATATCTTTCTCTCTGAGAGTATGAGTTAATTAGGGTAAAACTCAAACTCAAACTTTTTCTCTTCCACTACCCTTGAAGAGTCAAAATTTACTGAGAATAAACACTTCATTAAAAGGATGTTCTATAGCTTGTCAACACATACATCAAATTTTTAGCCTTTGATTTTCTCACTCTCAAACCAATTCCCCACGAATCCACCATTTTTTCTCGCAAGGGGAGACACCTCTCGCCAATGGCGGAGCCAGAATTTCAACTAAGAAGTGTCAAAATATAAAGAAGTTAAATTGTGTAGAAATCGAGGAGTGTCAATTTGTAATATATATATACATAAGAAAATATATTTTTATCTAGCTATGCAGTATAATTTTCTGACGAAGGGGTGTCGACGACACCCCTCAAATGTATGTGGCTTTGCCACTACCTCTAGCACGCAGAGACAATGGGTATCGTTATAAGCAGAGATTTCAAGCCCAATAGATTTATCATGGAGATTGCAGTAAACTTTATTCAAAAAAAATTTATGTTATATGTATCATTAATATAAAGAATACTTTTGCAGTAGCAGGTCGGGGAAAGAATAAATAGAGAGAGAGAAATTAAGTTTTTGCAGTAGAAGGCCGGAAAAAGAATAATTTTTTTTTTTTAATAAAGTTTACTGCAATCTCCATGATACATAATTGGAAAGTTTCAATAAGCAGATTTACGCATGTATATGATACATTATTAAGATACAATTATATGTATCTAGTTTTTATTACTGTATTTTATTAAGTGTGTATGTATCTAATGAATATATTGGAGACTTAAGTATTATTGAAAATTTACGCATGTATTTGACACAATTTGTTCTATCATGTATCCGAGTTTTGTCATATGTTTATGGTATCATATATATTTGTTACGATATTACAATGTATCTAACTATTTTCATATTTATCTGAGGTACATATTTTTGGATATAACGTATAAATTTGATACTTGATACATCAAATTATACATATCATAGATACATGAAATAATATTAGATCATATAAATAGATACATGAGATTAATAGTAGATCATATAAATAAATATATGAAATTAATACTAGATACTTCTATGACATATATGAATGTACTTGTATGATAATCATGTATTTAGGTGTTAAGTTGGTTGGATACATTATATATTGATAATAGATACAACAAATTAATGAATTTATTATTTTAAGAGTAATAAAATGAAACTAATCAAATTACATGACCAAGATATACATGTTTTTGTCTTTTATCAACAATATAATAAAATGAAACTAATTAAACATAGATATAATCCTTAATTTTTGCCTTATATTAGGGATTTA